GGAAACCGTAAACATCACAATGTACGTTCATTCACCTTGAAACATTAGGCTCATGTCTTAAATGAACGGTCGTACCTTCCTTTCAAACTGGCGTCAAAACTGTGACTCTACCATTGCTCTGTCGCTGTCAGTAATTACATAAATTATAATTTTTGCGGGTTAGATTTTATAACCTAATATCTTCTCTTCAAAGTGGAAATCGTTCATGAACACGTGCTAACTGCATATTTTGTGATTATGAATAAGTATATCTTCCTGCAGGAGCTTATTCTAGAGTTATATGGCTTGCTATGAATACACTGGACATCTTATCCTATAGGATAGGACAAAGAGGTATCAATATAAATGTTATTGCCATATATAATCGTATATCTTATAATACAATTTATATTATGCTAAGACAAGCATTGAATATACTTACTTATCAACACGGCTAATATTTTTCGTACAATCTCCCATGATAATAATTGCACAAAATGTGAAAGACTGAAATTATTTAAATACAAAGTTTAACAGATGTTTTTTTAAATAATATTAAATGTATGTGTATATGCGGCAATTCTTTACTCACATTATTGTTTGTTATTTGATCAACACTTTTCCTCTTTATTTTAGACTGGATACTTAAAGTACTAACAAATATTTTAAGTGAACAGTTTTTTACTGTATTCAATTATATATTGTGAATAAAATTATGTCCTTACATTATAAATTAGATTAGTTTTCTTTATCGAGTTGTTTTGCCGTATAGTTGTAAGGAACATTGTGTACAAATTCAGCACTTTGTCTTGTTTAGTCGTGCGCACATGGCTTATGTGGCAAGCCAGATTTTGTTTCTTTTTACTTGTGTTGCTTATGTATCTTTTTAGCTTCTGATGTGTATTGTGTACCTAATAAATAAATATATAAATAATGCTTGGCATTGTGAATAACTACGCGTGTTAGAATGTCAATTTTCGCTCCTATGGCGAGAGTATAATTTTTTAACACTAAGAGAAGCGATAGTTTCTTGTGTACGAAATTCAAAAAAATTTACGTTAAACAATTACAGTAAAACGATTTGAAAAAGTGGTTTAGAAACAAAAGCCCGCTGTGAAATTGGGTGGCAAAGCATCATTCAATATTAAATTGAGAATACAAAACAACTCAAAGGAAAATGTGAACAAAAAAACAATAGCACAGTTAAAAATAAATTGTTGCTATGTCACAAGCCTAAAAATATTCGTACGCAAATTAAACTATGGTTATTTATTTATTTATCATAACATGTAACCAAGAGAGAAATTGCCATTTTCATTCTTTAAAAAAAAAAATCGCAAATTTTCATTTCAAAGTCCAAAAACATATTTACCACAAGAAATATTCTAATCAGCATCTTGTATAGTTTTATAACGGTTTTTAATTGTCAAAGTAATTTCTTTGTAAGCAGAATAACAGCGAATTCAATCAAGATAACTAACTATGTTTCAAAGCCATAAAAGCTTAACGAGCGATATAAACTCGTTAGATATTTTTTTAACTTACAATTTCACAAATGTCTCTCATTATTGGTCAGTTCATTGTTTGCAATCGAATTGTGTTTGAATAAGATGATATCGATCTATTATTAGTGGAGAAGACAGTATGTAGATCTGTAGAACTTCAAAATAAAAACTATAAGGGTAGTGATAACAGCAACTTGTTTGCTGGGCAGACTATAATTATGAGAGCAAATGCAATTCATTTAATACAAGGAATTCTGGTCAAACATCGAACATTTGGTCTACACTAGCATTTTTAACAGTCTTTAACGAGCCTGGTTGGGCTATATGGTTAGGTTAGCTGGGCAAAATTATATATATAAAAATCGGACCAGTAGTTCCTGAGATTAGTGCGTTCAACTAAATAAGCAAACAAACGTCAGCTTTATAATGCTAGTAATAATATAATATAAGTATAGATTACTATTAAATATAATTTAAATTATCTCATAACATGTGAGTTATTGTTAACGATTACTAAAATATTATGTACATGTTAACCTACCTAACGAGGGGGCGTTAACTTTTATTCAGTCTAATATGCCAAATTGTCTGAAACTCGTTTTACGAATTAGAACGGATTCATTTCATGGAATTGGTTCACACATATGGAATCGAGCAATTATATATAATTTGGTTTTGTTATCTTTAATAGTTTGATTTCTACAAATCGTTTAAATCGGAAAATAACAACTTAATATGTATTACGGTTCATAATAGATCGTAAAATTGAAATGCTGTAAAAATAAATGTTTATTGTAGCCGTATATTATGTGTATGTTATCTAGCTACGAAAACTCAGCTTCAGATTTGAAGTTCAATTCTCAGTTGTATTACAATATTTCCAAAACAAACGTCCAACATCAGAAGTTCAACTGGCAACGTCCACAGAATTCGATAAAAGTAAAATATATTATATCAAAGCAAAGATATTATTACCATTTTAATAGCACTATTATTTAATAAACTTAATCCATAACAGAATGTGCAAGAAATCAAGAAAATTCAAAATCATGTATTTCAACTTAGATGTCAGTATAACACACTTGTTAAATGTCACAATATAAATAAAAATGTTAACTCTACCACTCTACTAAGAGTCTTAATAGAATGTATAAGTGTACATATTTTGTAAACATTATGAAGAATATGAAGAACAATATTATGTGTTCGCATAATCAAGCCTTTTAAATCGAGCCTTACCATTTAGAGAAATATCCTGAAAGTGTGACGCTTAGTTTGTACTTCTCATCAGATATAAAAATTAAATATGACTTCATGTTTGCGCAGTGAAAATTCCCAATTTATCATCATTGCTAACTATATCAGTACGCTGTCGGAAAATGTTTGTTGTTGAGTGAAGTTTTTACCGCTCTGTTGTGAATAGCAAATAGATTTCAATTACGTATATTGTTATGAAACTTGATATTATTAACTATGTTCTATTTACAAAATTTAGCCATTATTCATACAGCCTCCGAATCCAACCTAATAAGATTATTTTCATAAACAGAACCACGGATGTATTTAACAACAAAATATCTACGAATTTGTGTGATGTGTTATTTATATTCTTTATTTGAGGGTAGGGTCGTATTTTTTTAAATATTAAAATTTCTAAAGAACATATATCATGTCCACCTGATGAAAAATTGTCGCAGCTGGAAATGACAAAAAAAAATCACAACAACCCATCTAGTAATTATTAGTTGATACGCAGAGTGCCAATAAAACTAAATAGTGCATAATACATTACAACATACATAATATATTATTATGTACGTATAAATAAATAAATAAATCCACAATATGTTTTCTTTTTGATTCTGCATTCGAACGCCCCTAGGCCATATTATGTATTTCTTCAAATGAAATTTCAAAGCGGTTCGAAGCTTCGGACCGTAGGAAGCCGCACGCCTCTACCCCTGGCTTTGCTGATGTCTTAATTGCTGCTGGTTTAATACTCGAACGACGACCGCGGCATTCCCTGGTGAATCGATACTTACACGGATACATGACACATCTCGAGATACCAGAAAGTCTTTAATACCATCGTACTCTGACCCAATTTAACTGGTAACAGTACAAAGTGATCTATTCATTTCTATTATACCAATAAGTCTAAGATACACCCTAAGAACAAGTCTAAGATACATTCTATATCTTTATTTAAATAATTCTATTGTACGTGTGTATGTCACTGAACTCCTTCTAAACGGCTGGACCAATGAATTTTTGTATGCGTTTGGATGGCGCCCTGGATGGTTTAGATTCACAATTGATGGCTCTGCAGTCGGTATCAAGGTTATTTATCTACACTGCAACCAAACGGCTGGATCGATTTGAATGAATTTTTGTGTATGCATTCATTCATTCATTTCATTCATATTTTGTAAACAGGACAACGTATCGGATCCGGTAGTTATGAATAAATTATAAAAACAAAATTTAGTTTTTCTATTTATGTCAAATTTGTTATTTAAAAAAATTATAACGAATTTAAATTCTTCATTTTTATAGTGTATGCACTTTAGCAGCACCAACGTGTTTTCTCTGATAAAAATATGCATAATAAAGAAATGATGCAGTCACGATCCTTACTAATGTATGACGAACGATAAAATTCCTTTATAAAAGCAATTTATCTTACACGTCTCAAGGTGACCTACAGAAGCTGTTCGGTATAAAATTTAATAAAATGGACGAATTATGCTTTTACGGTTTCATTAAGATAACGCGTTAATAAAAATACACAATTACGATATAACATGAACCAGTAAAGTTATAATATTCTTTAAAAACATTATAGTATGACCAAATTGATCAATGCAACTAGTTTATATTAACGTGGCTTGAATTTATAAAGTCATTACAATTATTAGAGCCATTTAAAATATTTTCAAAAACCACTATTCTATCTAATACCTTATAGCCATCGAATTGTAAAGAATTAGTAATCAAATAATCCTGAGAATTACCAACACGAATGCAACACAGCAACAACGTGCGCACTAAAATAAACAAGAGCGTTGACCCAAGACCTGGCCCTACTTTCCCTTCTGTGGCACTTAAATTTTCCTTCCCTACTTTTGTCACTAGAAACAAGCAATGACGCATCGCCAGTCATTTTAGCACTTAACGAATCCTCAAGTATTGAAGCGAGATTGGTAGCAACCAGCTATTATGTTCCTCTGTTGTACTCATTGTAAATCATTTGTTTTACTGGTTTTCGTATAGAAACAAAAGACATTACTCCGGATGAATGTGTGCGCTGATTTCACATCGACTATTAACAGTATGTCGGCGGTGCTATGCTTCGAAGTCCATTGTTTATTTATTTCTAAATAGGACACGACATGTCTCCATGTTACGTGACCATGTATGACGTATACTTTAGACATCACGTCTATTCATTCGTCTATCTTTTAATGGACAGCTAGAATTGGCTCAGTTTCAGTTCAAGAAGAGCTGAGCGTTCGGATGTACGCGGCGCCTAGCGCACACGCGGACTGATTTTAATATATAAGGAGGGAACTTGCGACACCGTTAACACATTCAGACTACAACCTGTACAGGAAGTCACTTGTTTCCGTTGTCATCTTTGCAATCCACGAAGATGCTCCTCGCTTTGGTAATTATGAATTCAACTTTATTACTAATTGTGCTAGAGTGATCAGTGCCACTAAAGTAAACGGTTACAAAATATTATCGTGATCACTACTTGAGTCTTTAGATATTTTTTTTTTATCTGACGACCTCCCCGTGATTACGATATATCGTCAAAGATATTCTATTGCAAAAAGCCGCATCTTATGTACGTGTTAAGTTCCAACGCAAATCGCTTCATAACTACTTATGTCTTGATGAGCATGTTTTAACCTTTAAAATTGTTCATAATGCAACATCTCCTGAGACTACCGCTTAAAGTGTTTAAATAAGACCTTACCTAATTTTCTAATAATATTAAGAAGCCGTGTTACGATATTTTCCGAAACATGAAGTAGTGTTTTGATATGATTTTACTTTTTTTTTATCTTACACTCAGCTGCCAGTCGGTTACCGAAAGGTGTGGATTATAAATTCCTACAATATGTTAACCTTGAAAATATCCTGGAACGTAAATTTAGATCATTATTTTAAAATGCCGATTAAAATTCAACATCAACATTTGATACTCTTAATATATTTTGCGATAAAAGGATTGTCTAATCTCTTTTTAATAAAAAAAAATAAACGAAGCATGTTTTAGTTTATATAAAAATTTGTTTGTTGTTCTAATCTGGGTGTTGTTGTTGGTTATTGTTGCATCTGATAATTTAGTACCATCACGGTACGTACAGTTTTCAACAATAAACAATACAAGCTTCTAGCAGTTCGTATATCAAATACACTATATTATAGTGCCACAAGTTTTTTTCCCTTGATGGGAAGACAGGCTCACGGCACGCTTAACATTAAGGGGTTACTGGATGTTATAATCATAGCGTAAATACCGCCGCTGCATTAAGTCATGAAGTAAAATTCTCTTTTGTAATATTTAATCGCTGTCTTACCCTTAAAATTAAAACACATGTCCACTTACCGCCCCAAAATAATAAGAATATTGATTCCTGTCCCTGCGGCTTCACAGTACTTTGATAGCAATTTTTATATTTATACTAGCGGACCCGAAAGACTTCGTAGTGCCTCAATTGATAAATAAAAGACCTAAACTTTTGTATAAAATAAACTTAAAACAAATAAAAGGAATCCGTCCGACGGGGGATACATCAGAGGAAAAACAAAATTGTTATTTTTATTTAATTCCGAGCATTTTGATATTTATCTACCTTTTAAACCCTCTCTGGACTTCCACAAATAATTCAAGACCAAAATTAGCCAAATCGGTCTACTATCGAATAACCTTAACAAATCAAAATAATTTAACATAAATCAATTCATACAGTAGAACAAATCTTCCAATACGCTTGAAGGAGGCACAGTTCCCAAGATACTGGTTGCGTTACTTCGTTGGGCAGCCAAAGTCACTCTCTGTGCAAAGTACCAGTCAGCCTTAGCATCACGTGTAGCTTCCTTCAAGCGTTTGGAGATTTCTGATAAAAAATTGTTACTGGTTATTTTGATTAGTATTTATAAAGAAAATATTTCTTGATTTACATACTCGTTTCTCCAATCGACGCCTATAAGTAAACTAATCTCTATATATAAAAATGAATTGCTGTTCGTTAGTCTCGCTAAAACTCGAGAACGGCTGAACCGATTTAGCTAATTGTGGACTTGAAGTTTTTTTTGGAAATCCAGAGAAGGTTTGAAGGTAAATAAATATGAAAATGCTCGGAATTAAATAAAAATAACAATTTTGTTTTTGCTTTGATGTGTCCCTCGTCGGACGGATTCCTTTTGTTTGTTATAAGTTTATTTTATACAAAAGTTTAGGAATTTTATTTATCGATTGAGGCACTACGAAGTCTGCCGGGTCAGCTAGTTGATAATAAATAAACTAAATTAATAACACCAACAATAATCAATTTTCAGGTATGCGGTGCTTCGCTGCTTCTGCAAGTGATAGCAGCCGGTCCATTCGTCAACAATCAGAACAAAGTTCAAGTCGTTCGATATGACTTAGATACAGACAATTTACCAAATTCATATAAATTTCAGTAAGTACATTTCCAATTATTGTCTTTTTAATAATGTGATATGATTTTGTTGTTGACACTAGATATACACAAATATAAATATTTTGTTTAAATATACATATAAATATTTTTGTAAGTATAAAGAAAACTGCTTACTTATCCAAGCGCGCTCTTATTTTATTTGAAATTATTATTATTTTTAGACATCGCTATTATGTTTATATTTGAATTATTATATTTATGTAAGTTTATCTACAGAGTAATAGATATCAAGGAATTAAAATAAAAAAATTGATTAGTAGCTGTCTTCTCAGAGCCCTTTAATTTTTTTATTGCTGAGATGGGTGGACGAGATCACAGCCCATCTGGTGTTAAGTGGTTACTGGAGCCCATAGACATCTACAACGTAAATGCACCACCCACCTTGAGATATAAGTTCTAAGGTCTCAGTATAGCTACAACGGCTATCCCACCCTTCAAACCGAAACGCATTACGGCTTCACGGCAGAAATAGGTAGGGTGGTGGTACTTTCCCGTGCGGACTCAAAAGAGGTCCTACCACCAGTAGGTCCTGTTACAATAATATTGAAATAATACGAAAACTTGCATTGCAATGCAAAATATACTAACTGTTTTTACACACGTAATGTAACGCGCGCTGTCAGCTTGCGTACGGGGTTCGCTATACAAGACGTCGACGTTTAATAGCTTAATTCGAGTTACATTGCGCGCTTGTCTGATTTAAATTTAATACGTCAAAGCTTCACAAAGTAACGCGAACAAATCAACCGCGTTCACAAATAAAGCCACAATCAAATATGGAAGTCGGTAAAGTTTTTAACGTTAATTTACAATTTGATAGGCTCGTGCAATTGAAAAAAATGTGATAATGAAGGTCATTAGTTAAATTGTTTTGCGTAGACATTTTTAAGATTTTTTAGATTTTATTTTATTTTAAGATACTAGCAGAACCTTTTATGACAAAATATCCGTTGAAAATGAAACCTTGGCTTATGTGGACAGTGTGGTCATACAGTATCTATTGGATCAGCTTGTACCCGCTAACACAATACTATTTTTACGTTTGTCGCATAAGCTATATAATAGAATACACGGTAATTACAAAGCGGTAGTCACTAAGCTGGTGCAAATTGTATTAATGGTAATAACATTTCAATGAATTTCATATTCCACAAATAACAATACGTTTTTTGGGCAATAATGATGACTAGACATGTAATGACCCTTATTGCATTCCACTTAGTTAACAAACTTAACTCGTGATAATGTTAATCGTGATCCTTATAGCGCGATAATAATAGATCGTCTAGTCTTTGCCGCAGAACATCAAAATTACCCAATCAAAATAAACAAAAAATAATATAATTGTCACGGATGTCCAAATAACTATGTTATGACTCAATCAGATTCACATTTGTGAAGAATTCTGCCATAATTTAAATAGCCAGCGATAATGTTTACTAAATTAGAATAACGGCTAAATTATTTAATAAATTTCCAATTAACTTTTCTTATACTTTATATTTAAAATGTATTAAAATTCTTACAGGTTTATAACAAGGCCGAATTATAATAAATGACAATCTGGTTCGTTCTTCTAGTTATGGACTGATTTAAATCGAAATTTGAATTAGATTTTAGAAAACAAACCTGATATCAATATGTCGGACAGCATTTTTTTTATGGCTTAGATGAGTGGACGAGCTCACAGCCCACCTAGTATTAAGTGGTTTCTGGAGCCCATAGACATTTACATTATTATATTTATTATTATAATTTTTTGTTTTTGTTTTTATAATACATTTATGGAATATGGATATAATAATATGGTGGAAATTCCGTTTAAACACGCTGTAGGAGCAAAGCTATAACAACCGGATATGTTATCGATATTGTCACAGTTCGTCGGCCTTGTAGTGGAGATTGAGTGGCAATGTCACAAACAGCTGTCACTCAAAATATCCGGTTACGACTCACAATAGAGGCTCAGTTCACGGCAAAAACTACATTTCCATCTGATAACTATAATTTTGTTTTTAAATTAGATCAAACTATGGGATGTTAATCGGCTTACCTACCTTGAAAAAAGATAGTGATTAGGATAAATTTGCGTACGTAAATAAGCAACTAAAGGTAAAGCTGCTATAGACAGTAGTAATGAGTTGTGGAGGCTGGGACAGCATACCTTTACCTTTTATTGGATCTATGATCTATCTATCTATAAATATTTAAATGAATACCAACCAATCCACAGATACAATATTCATGGCTATTTTATTAAAATATAAAGCCTTTACTTTAAATTTAAATTCTATTGACTGCTTCTATATTAAATCTTATACATTAATCGGCAAATAAATTTAAAAATTATAATGATTTCAAAACGGAATAAGGTCAAACTAATATTTTATTGTGTTACACTAATAATTTATTATTGAATTTAAGCTGTATAATTCTATTGAGCCTTAATCTTGATCTTGAAATTTTAATGCATATTAATTAATAATGCATACACAATATGCAATCAATATTTTAATACAATAAATAACGAAATACTTAAAAAAAACCCAAACACAATTCGAAAATTTAAATAATTACAAAATATCTCACACATACTCGTGCATGAAGTTTGCGCGTTACGATATTTTAACGAATAACACGTTGATATATGACGTATTACAAAGCCATAATTAAGCCTCATCCATGTCTATACCTGATTTATGAGCGGCATATGCGAATTCACAATAATCTTCACCATCAGTAGATATACTCGTAAATGTACCGAAGCGTACAGAGCAACAGAGAAAAGCACGTTTATTATTTTATTACATAGATCCATTATTATTTGTTGATGCATTCTGGCAAAATTAGAATATGAATACCGTATTCAAAAATAAGCGCGTGTCCATATAATAGGTATCTGTACCGGATTCCGAAATATCAATATTCGAATAAATAATTTAATTCAAATTTACTGAGATATCGGAAGTTGCCGAAATTTAAAGGCTCGTTCGGGGGCTACTTCTGTTACAACACAGCACACCAATACCGAATTGTGCACCGATTATGCAATTTGATTTTAAAATCGAAATTTCGAGAACTATTTGATTAAAAGTTCCTACATGTCCGACATTAATCAACCTAATCACGTGTAAGTAATTGTGTTGATTGCTACCGGTTTGTCTATCACACGGAATTCTAAAACAGCTAACGTTACATTTACTAATGATATTCGAATGTAATAATATATTGAGTAATTCCCTTGATAGGTATTAAGGCTGTATAAGAAGTATTGAATCTATCTTCGAAAGCTCGGCTTATTCCTGGGTCTATGGTAGACGTCCAGATATACTTGAAAGCCTACACAATCTTCAGGGGTTTTTTTTTTTATTGCTTAGATGGGTGGATGAGCTCACAGCCCACCTGGTGTTAAGTGGTTACTGGAGCCCATAGACACCCACAACGTAAATGCGCCACCCACCTTGAGATATAAGTTCTAAGGTCTCAAGTAAGTTACAACGGCTGCCCCACCCTTCAAACCGAAACGCATTACTGCTTCACGGCAGAAATAGGCGGGGTGGTGGTACCCACCCGCGCGGACTCGCAACAGGTCCTACCACCAGTAAGATATATAGTATAAGTATATATAGACATTAAATCTAAATGAAAAGTAGGCACGATGAGGTCCCCCTTTAAAATTAAAATTTACAATTCCCCTGACATCACCTTTATTATAAGTACATCAAGAAATAGAAATGAGGCCAGGAATTTTATAAAAAGCAATAAACAATTGTACGCGTTTGAAATACCTAAAAACATCGAACGACATTTAGAATACTAAAACGAAAATGAAAGCTAAACGTGTGAGTCAGACCACAACAAGCACGGATTGAAGAAACCTCACTTGCTTAGATACTGATGGTAGGGCATAAAGGAGTGCGCCCTGGTAGTTGCTACTGTCTAGCCTATTTCTATTGTGGAGCCGGTCACGCATTATGGTTTCTGTTTTGATCAAGCAACTGTTAATGTATATTAGTGCAAGCTCTGGCCCACATGCCGGAGTAACCAGTTGACTCCAGGTAGACCGTGAACTGATCTCCTATCTAGAGCAAAAAAAAACCTTTAAATCACAAACAACACGGAATGTCATGATTATGTTAATTGGCCTTTATGTTGTCCTTTGTAGCCTGCTGGTCCTGTTACCTGACCTCCGTGTTTATTGGCATCAAACCGTGTATTGTTTTATTCGAATCTATTTTTAAGCTCGCAATTTTGGCGTGGTGCCCTAAGAAAGCTTTTTGCTCCTTTGAACTGGCAAAGAATCTTAATGCGAACGAATGTTTTTGTTTATCATCTACGGGCTCCTTAACTAAGCATCCAATTGTCAAATCAAATCAAATCAAAAAAAAGTTATTCAACATACATGAAAGTATATACTTGTTGAACGTCAAAAAAAAACTACCACCTGTGATGAAACTTGGTATAAATGAGTTGCTCGCTCCAGGCATTTCAATATTGTAGTAATTGTTACGTTATAATACTCAGTGTAAATAATTCATATTTAAAAAAAATATATATTAAAAATAAATAAATAATAATTTTATATGTAAAAAAAAAAAAACATGCCCGCTGAGTTTCTTGCCAATTCTTCTCAGGACGGAGGCTAGTTCTTGTGAATTGGCGGTAGTTTTTTTGACGTTCAACAAGTATGTACTTTCATTTATGTTGAATAAAATTTTTTTTGATTTGATTTGATTTGATTTGATAATTATTGTTGACTCTCGAAAGAAGGTTTTTGTTAGTACTATCAACGATTCACGAAGACGATCTTTCATACAATTCACTAGTGGCACATTGGAGCACGTCGAAGTTTTCTTAGTTAATAATAACAATATGTTCGACTAGCATGCACATATGCGCTAAAACATTTTAACACAATAATCATCACATAAACATTTTATTATCAGCATTTTCTGTGAATGAGGAGGCCTCATTTTATGTAAAATGAAATTGAGTTAGGAGACCATATACAGGGTTCAATTTCACTTTAGATTAAATCTAAAATTATGAACATTTTATAACATGCAACAATGAAACTCACCTTAAAAAAACTAAACAAAACAATATAGTGATAATTAAATATAAACATCATTAGTTTATATTCTAACAATTAAAGTTCAATACGTTTATGTTTCGATATTCGATAACATAAATAATGAAAAATTGAGAACTTATGTCAAATTGATATTGTAATGAAAAAAAAAACAGAGTTAGATATAATGCACAATGTAAAAACAATAAATATTTCAACCTTTTAATTTCATATGACATTGCAGTTAAATTAACACTTTTGTCTAACCTTAATGTACAATAAAATATTGAAGTCACCTTCTTATTTTATTGAGTGATACGATAATTATTTTCCTGTCGACTAACAAAAAACTGAAGGCCCTTTTCATTTCAAACAGTAAACGGAGCACATAAATATGACAACGGGTATCCTAATATTCACGAGTGACACAAACGAAGCCTCAATTACTTATCAGCTATCATGTCTATCAAACAATCTAGCCTACCTTACCATCAATAATAAAAAACATTTTGCGGCTTTAATTTCATAGCACGACGCTATTCAAACATCGTGGATCGAGTTCAAAAATATCATGTGTTAAATACGTATTATTTACCTTTAAAGAAGATTCTTTTGAAATTTTTACTGGTTCGGTAACCATTTAAAACCGCGAAAACAATGAGTTTGTTAATCCATACACATATGTATGTAATAAAAATAAATTTAAAATAGAATGGAAAAAACGAAAAAAAAAAGAAAGAAAATCTGCAGGAATGCGTAGAATATGACTGTCTCAATAATTTATCGATTGTATTCTACCCCTGCTTAGCGTAGTTATTATTAATACTTCGGGGTTTTTTTTCATAACAGTATTGCAGTTCTAAAAATAGCATGATACATTACTGACGAGTCACTCGCCTGCGCTCGAAGAAAGAACTAAATCTTTTAGGCTGTCTCAAACTTGTTTTAGCTTCACAGAAATTATAGCCGGCACATAATGGTGTCAATTCTGACCACAAAAACAAAACACATGCTCTGTACGCCTTTTATGAGGTGAATGTCCTTTTGAGGTTCGATTAACTTTATGGGTCCGTTACTTAAAGACCTCAATTAAAGTAAAATAAACACTAAAGTGTGTTGTTTAACGCTCGACAAGTTGGATTTTAATTTTGCTTTGAATATTATTTGGTATTTTGATTTTTGTCAGGAAAAAACTGTTTTAATTGAATTATCATACATTTTCGTAATTTACGCTTATAGACCAGCATGTGGTATTACTGAAACCGTCATGATATTGTTAGCAACCTGATCATGACATATAACATCAGCTCGCTGTGGTTCTCTTAGAATCCTCTCAGCGGATCATGATTCCAGACGCATATCCAGTTGATCTGTCATGTCATTTTCTGAGAAACTGGGGCGGTTGTTAGCAAATTCTTCCCATCCTGGTCAAACAAGTGCTCGCCCAGTCATCTTAGCGAAGCTAAAAAGCCCCCAAGTCCATGAACCATCCCTCCTTCCTAGAAAAACATTAGTAATCGTAGACAATATACTTAACAAGCATTTTGGCTGATTGTTTTCAACCTAGACTAGCACCTAACCGAATCTTCCGATAAATATAGTCAGAGCGATGAAGGGATCCACTAAAGAGTGCCCAGCAGTTGTCTCTGCGTAACATACCATATAGTGCGATGGTAAACAGTCGAATCGGCATTTATTGGTAATAGAGATTAATGTGAGAACCATTCCTGCCAAGCAACGATACATTCCGGATTGAAGGGTGCGACTACTTCTTTGCATTTATATAACACAAGCGGCCCGCTCCGGCTTCGCTCGGGTCTTTAACAAAAATTTCAACGATATTTGACGTTGTTTTATTTTTTTAAATAAAAGAACACTTATTGCGGCATAACTATAATAATTAGACATATGCTGTCGCGACACTTTTTGTACATAATAATGTGTTCTACAAAGTCGTAGTACATTATTTCATTCTATCATCAATCGTTTTTCGCAAGGCACGCGATGTAAGGAATATTTTAGGTAATTGAAGTGAAACTTCCTTATCGGCGTTGGAAAAAAATTTACCGTCACATTTTTCGGTTACGCGTCACTTTTTGAAGTGAAACTTCCTTATCGGCGTTGGAAAAAAATTTACCGTCACATTTTTCGGTTACGCGTCACTTTTTTCCGTTACGCGCCATCTGTTTTGTATTCATGTCTATGATAATAAAATCCTTTTGTTTAAACTTTATCTAATTTAACTTTATTTAACCAATTTCTAGAAAGTTGCATGTAGATCATTTTTCGAAAAATAAGGCCATAAACAAGTTTCACTTCTTACGTGTGTACACTAGTACACGCACACATTTTTTTTTTTTACACATTGGGTTACATTATTGGAGTTTTAGTAAGGATTCCTAATTTTTTTCAAAAAAAAAATATAGCCTATGTCACTCGGCAATAGTGTAGCTTCCAAACAGTGAAATAATTTTTCAAATCGGTTCAGTAGTTTCGGAGCCTATTCAATACAAACAAACAAATCTTTCCTCTTTATAATATTAAGTATAGATAATTTCTCAAATGCTATAAAAACGATAAACTATACATTAAAATTGAGATTTAGACCCCGTTTTTCAAGTTAAAGTCAAATCAAATCCAAATTAGACTAAAATAGAGAAGTATAGTTATATAAGGTATACTTATATATCGAACCTAGCCTACTGTGTAGATACTCCTATTAAAGTATTTTCTAAAAACCTTTCGAATACACATTTGGTTAATCTAAGAAGACAAGGAATAAGTATAGGTATATGCCATGTTATAAATATAAATATATATTAGAGGTAACTATTATTTTAAGAATCTTGAATGACCTTCGTATGACATTAATGACATTCTTGCAAAATGTCGTGTAGGTACATTATGTATTTAAAATATAAGCTGTACCCAATACCGAACACTGCCCTATAACATTAAATTCAAAATAACTACATAGAATTTACATAGTTAAATCGAACACAATAGAGAAACACAAAGCTTTTATGACAACAGTTGCCATAAAGTATAATAGTTAGAAAATATAAGTAGACATTACTGTGATCTCAGAAATAATGACAACATATTGTAAAATTTGTTGTTTTTTTTTAATTCATCTTTTTTAAGTTCTAATCTAGTTGAAATTTTACATCATGATCATTTGTACTTCAAGGGAGATTGATTAAACAATTATTAAACGATTATTGGGTGGCGGACTAATTAATTCATAAATATAGCGATAATTACAATGAAGCTTATCCATTTTCAGCGTTTTCATCGAGTAATTTTATTAAAAAGTTTTTTGTTTTGATTATATTATTATGGGTGAATGAACTGGTGATCCACCGGGTATTAAAAAGTAGTTACAGGAACCCGTAGATAATCACAACCTGAATACCGCCGCGGACTTTGAGTGTTGAGGTCCGAGTCTCTGTTATAGTTTTTGTTTTACGCCCAACCCATTCCCACAATGTATGATTGTTTTATCGTAGAAATAGATACGAAGCTGGTCCCTACTTTTGCAATATGCTCTATCATCACTATATACCGGTTAAAAACTTACCCACGATAGTTACTAACGAAAAAAATTCAACTATCTTAGACCGTGCACATTTATCATCTCACCTAAATCTGCTGTATTGAAAATTAAATAATGTCATTTATGATTACGTTTAACTAAGATGACAGTAAATTTCATTTTGAGCTTTTTTGAGAATCTATCGCGTCACTATCTATCGACAACATTTGAAGGTTATTTCTAATTTTTATTTAATTAAAACTAAAATTAGTATGTTAATATTCATAAATGACAGATGAGTGATTGTTAATGAATGGACGGGCTCATTTAGTATTATGTGAGTACGGGTGCCCATAGATTCGAACACAAATTCGAGCATTCGTATCTAGCGATGCATCGGTGTTCGAATCCCGCCGGCGGGTACCACTTTATCTAATAAAATACGTAATTAACAAAAGAAATGTTCACGCTCGACATCAACGGAGAAGGAATGACATAGTGTAATAAAAAAACCAAACCCGCAATATTATAATTTGCGTAATTACTGGTGGTAGGACATCTTGTTATTCCGCACGGGTGGGTACCACCACCCTGCCTATTTCTGCCGTGAAGCAGCAATACGTTTCGCTTTTATGGGTGGAGCAGCCTTTGTAACTATACTGAGACTTTAGAACTCATATCTCAAGATGGGTGGCGGCATTTACATTGTAGATGTCTATAGGCTTCGGTAACCACTTAGCATCAGGTGTGTCGCAAGCTCGTCCACCAACCTAACGAATAAAAAAAAAAAAGTGTCGTGACAACTTTTCGTAAGATTTTTTTCCGTCTAGCCCCCTTTCACAACGTGCGATAAGGAACTTCGTTCCAAAAGTTGCCATGTACATAATTTTAAAGCAATATTTTTTTAATTCTATTACAGTTACGACGCCAGTGACGGCTCATCTCGTACTGAGGAGGGGGCCATACAGAACCTCGGGACGAACGACGCAGCCCTCGACGTCCACGGTGCTGTACGCTGGTACAACAGCAAAGGTCAACTCTACGAGATGATCTACAAAGCTGGCAAAAGAGGCTACAGAACAATCATCAAGAAAGTTTCATAAGACAAACGATTGAACATATTGAGATTGAATGAGATTTCGAAAGACTGTATTGTAATTTATTGTTTTAGTCTGTTTATTTAAACGCTATCAAAAAACAAAACATTGGTAACCTTTTAATGACAATGACATTGTAAAATTCAAATGAGATCTTATTTTTAGAATAGAATAAGCTAATCATGTTTAAATAATCTATATATTAATACGTGAAGCAAAAACTTTGTATTCCTTTTTACGTAAATTGCGCGGACGGAGGAGTATGAAATTTTCAACACTTATAGAGATTATAGAGAAGAAGTGCACAATGCTAATATTTTTTTTAAAATAATGCATAAAAGATACATTAAATCAATAAAGAAAACATTACACACACTACTATGTATTTGACACACACACGTATGCATACTATTTGTTTATTGTCAAACTTTTCTTTGCAGTCTGTCAGTTATAGTCTGTCAAATTGAAAATAGATTAAATATTGTTTTCTTTTTATTAATATTTGTCTTAAGTGTAGTCTTGACGAAATCTGTGATTAAAGAAGTATAATAGTCCTTGACAATAGAATCATAAGTGTACAAACTTATAATTTCCATTAGTTATAGTCGAATTTCGACTACCAGAAGACCACTAATATGAATAAAGAAGTGTGGGCGCGCGATTGGAGCATCAGGCCTCTCTCTTGCACGCCCGCATTTTGATGGCGACTACGTCACAAGTCACAATGTGTGTCCTTTTTTGTCAATCTTGGATTTCACAGGTTTCTAACTAATTACTATACCGATATATAATTTTCTTCTTGTTTTAGATTACAAATAATACTATTTAATTATAAAATAGTCATTGGTCAATATCTGCGTTGGTCTCAAGTCGATCTTTTCACATAACGATACAAATTTTGAATGTAAAAAGTGTTTTTGTAAATGTTAATATGATTTGGTATGCGAAGATATGAGACTTGTTTTAAAATATTGCATTTACGTAATGACCTTGTTCACTGAGATTATAAACTAATTTGTAATTTAATATTTAGTGAATAATAAAAATCAATCTCGTAAACTTCGAGGACGTGTGAGAAAATTTATGTGTTGTAAATAAATTTAAATCTAACCAATCTTTTTTTTTTAATTCAATTGAAACTAGTGTTCGCCCGATGATTAAAATTCAATACCACAAAGATAATCAGACGCCTCAGGTTTAATTTTATTTTTATTAGCAAGTAGTGAAGACTGGTAATAAAATAAATAGGATCTTATCTACCAAAAGTTATCCTTCAAAATCAATAGTTCCTTTTTTTTCATTGCCGGTACCCGGTAAACTCGCGATGTTCGTAACATGGTATCGTTCAATATAAGCGATAATACTTAAAACAACATACAGTAAAATTAACTTAATAAAAAAACGTGCTATCCGTTAATAAAAAAAGCGTCCTATACGCTTTGTAGGCTCCTAGGGTTTCTTTACAGGAGAAAATAACGGAAACCCTACCCGCGAGGCCGTATTTGGGAGTTGAACCCTCACCAAAAACTCCTGTTTTTTTTTCCTACCTATTCTAGTAACCTAGGCTATTATAGATTCACCGAGCTAGTAGGTAGGCTCAAACCAGGAGTGTTGCTAGCACTGGCCCTAGCAAGAGCAATGCTTCGCAGTGTCTACCACCGGCTAGGAAACGCGACCCACTGAACAAAACCGGCGAGAAACTCAATGGGCTGTGTCTATGGGTTAATTTATTCGTCGAGCCCTTCGTCGCAAGCGACGGGTTCGGCGAGGACGGTGACCGTGCTTGAGGTACCCAAAAGCACCGTTAATGGATCGGGAGGATTCGTAATGACGTGCTTAGGGCGACATCGACTGTTTACCATTCGGTCCACAGGATCGGGTATGTAATTACCGGCGACCACGACAAGAGAGTCTTCATATCGTGCCGCCTTCTCAAAGTGACGTAATGATGCTGACTGTAGATACTTACTGACTGAGTCAAGCTCCAGGTCATCATGGAGATCCACGTTCCTTAGGAACCATAGTGCTCCGACGGCTATCCTGCAAAAACGGGATTGAATGACTTGAAGGGGTTTCAAGTTGGTGCGGGCCGCGTGAGCAAACATTACACATGCATAGGTCATGACAGGGCGTATGCAAGTTTTGTAGAGTATCACCTTTTACGAAGGGACAATTTATCATTAATATTAATCATCCCTCTGTCAAGGGTGACGCCCAGATATTTGACCTTCGAGGCCCACTGTATGGGCTGACCAAATAGAGTGACGGGGCTAACGGCAGAGGTGTTAACGCGCCTATTAAGGAGTGGACTACTCGAAGTGGTATTCGGAGGGCGAGGGAACCATTGTACCATGGTGGTTAATGCAATCTGGAGTCGCCGATGCAATAGCGACTTCTTCCTACACAAGTAGTAGATAGCCGTGTCATCGGCAAAGAGCGCTACATGGATCTCCGGAGACCGGGGTATATCACTGTTAAACAAACTAAATAATAACGGGGAGAGCGCAGAGCCTTGCGGGACTCCGGCCGTCAGATAACGGGGGTGAGAGCGAGTTCCCTCTACACGATATCGAAACGAACGGTTCGACAAGAAGTCTCGTATAACGAGCACGAGTCTGTCTGGCACTCCCGTGTTATACAGTTTATAAATTAAACCCTTATGCCACTTTGTCGAACGCCTTTGCTATATCGAAGAAGAGAGCTCCAGTCGGGATTGGTTTCCGCTTATTTAGCCCTATTAAGATATGCTCCGTGAGGCGGTGCACTTTTTGTATGCACGAGTGTTTGGTGCGGAACCCAAACTGCTCATCTATTAATATTTTCTTTTCGGTAATGAAGTCCCAGCGGCGTTTCCGAAGGACTGGTTCCTATATTTTTCCTATCGCTGAGAGGAGACGGCGCCCGACCCCGGACCGGGCCCAGTCCTGATCTTAAAAAACACGAATTATTCATAATACTCATCAAAACAAATTTAACAGGCCCCCGCTGAGTGAGTTCGTGGAATTTAGTAACAATTTAAGCGTTCCATTATACGACTTCCAGATTTATTAACAAAGTTTAATGTTACCGAAAGATTATACATGCAAAAAGCACAAAAGTCAACACTACGTTTAAATGTTGTTTTAGCCTTTGTCTACATCATTATAAGATTATTTTTTTAATGCTTAGATGGGTGGACGAACTCACAGCCCACCTGGCGTTAAGTGGTTACTGGAGCCCATAGACATCCACAACGTAAATGCGCCACCCACCTTGAGATGTAAGTTCTAAGGTCTCGAGTATAGTTACAACGGCTGCCCCGCCCTTCAAACCGAAACGCATTACTGATTCACGGCAGAAACAGACAAGGTGGTGGTACCCACCCGCGCGGTCTCACAAGAGGTCCTACCACCAGTAGATCGAAATTGATGAAAAATACATAATATAATAACAAATGACTACTTCGACGATTAATTAAATTATACACGCCTATATTTTCTACGTTTTCTAATACTGACATTTTAAATCCTTTACGGAGATATTGATTCCGGTGCCAATGACTAGCACTTGCGTACTATATTCAAAGGACGGCTGAAATTTCCGCCTGAAAAAAAATAAAATAAAAGATCGGTCAAGTCAATTATCACCTGTTTCTGTACAAAACAATACGCAATTTTTTCTACTTTATGTTGTGTGCCAATTTTGACGTTTGTCGTTGAGTTTCATCATAAAACATATTGTATTATCACCTACGCCAGTGTGCACATTTACAGTTGCTGTAATGTGGACAAACAAAGCCTGTATTTAAGGAGTTTGGTCCGAACTATTTGTATCATTCATCTGCTTATTGTAAAAAGAAAATATTCTCTTTTTCCAACACCATGGTCGCTTTGGTAAGTTTGATTGTTTTTTACTATGGGATCGGAATAAGTCGTTCCTTTTTTTAATTTAGAAATTTATCGATTATTTACTTCACAGAAATAAATCAATATTATTTCTGTGATTTATCTATATTCATATTATGCTTTTGTTAAACTCTGTAAGATAACCCATTTAATCTTGTCTTATAAATTAAAAAAAAAACCATAACCATCACAATCACACGAAAAATAACTAAATTGGTAGTGCCCGCTAATGCGTAGCGTCTAAACACCCGCCTTTCAAATGCACTAGAATAATTCAAAACCACTGAAGTAGGAAACCTATGGAAATGAAACGTCAACAAAAAATTCGTGCCACTGTGACGTCATCTGGCCACAAAACATGGCGGTTTTAGTGTTGCCCAGAAGATTTTAATGTTAGTAGGTTTTATCGATAAACGTTCTTGGCTCATTTTATTTTAAATATTGTTGAGTGAATGTATTTGTAGAATTTATACTTTAATAGGAAGTAAGTATATTGTTATGTGCAAAGATGATGTGATTTAGATATTATGTGAAATCTAAGACGAGTTCGTGCTTCAAATTTGCCAAGTAAACGATATGACGATTTTTAAAATTTGCTACACTGATTTTATAAAGTTGTCGTTTGCCGCAAAACATAAAGATATGGCGTAGTACAGTGCCATCTGCCCATTTCTAGCATGCTGAATGTTATCGTATTTTGAGTACGTGTTTTTCTTAGACTATTACAATCTATTTTAATTGTTTTGCTGACTCTAAAGTCCGTAACACACTACCGCAGCGCACCTCAAGGAAGGTACGCCGCACCATTTGAATCACTCTCACTTGAGAGTGATTCAAATTTTAAACTTATCAAGGGACCGCCTGATAAAAAAAAACACCTACAGAACATTTATTCGTTAATAAAATTACAAACGTCATTCCTTGTGACTTCCTCTCTAAAATCACTTAATTATTAAATATTTAACGAGTTGACAATAGTGTTTTACTCACTGCGGAATAAAACTATTTTATTTAAATAGTTCCGAAGAGATTTTGTCGGTAGCCTTTTTCCTGAAATATCTAAACAGAATGTCTAAATATGTTTTGATGACATATTTTAAAGAGGTATTTATGATTAGTGTCATGATGAATAGATTCCGACCGAAAAATGGTGTCCGATATTTCGGATTCAAATATATTATTAAGTGTATAATCTATGTTTCGGATGAGGGCTCCATAATGAATTTAAATATATATAGATAATAGTTTTGGGGCATCGACTTTCTTGAGATCCTATAAAATATGTTTTAATTATTATTTTTGTATGTTTTAAGCATGATAAAATAAGAAATTTTATATAAGCAATCATAT